AAAAAAAAAACAGCTGCTTCCAGCAGCCATGTGGCCGCAAACATGATCACTATCATGGCAGGAACCGGGAGTTGCTGCTACCTGTGCACCCTGGACACTCGGCCATGTCCCTGTGCTGCTGATGCCAGTGGCCATGTTCTGCGGCAAACTTCAGGGAGCTCTTCTCTCTCCTGTGTCCTGAGCCCAAATGCCTGCTCTGGCTGAAGAGCTAGGCTTATAGAGCACCAGGTTTCACTCATCTGGTCACATGAGACCCACTTTCTTAACTGGGCCCAGGGGGGTTTCATTAGCCCAACAGCCCTGCCACAGCTTAAATAGACACCTGCAGCTCAGCACCTTACCATATTCATGTCTTCTCCAGGTAAATGGTTGGTAGCTTGTTACGGTCTTCAAGCTAGGACTCCTAACTCCTTTCTGCTGCTTGTCTCTTTGTAGTTGGCACCATTTTAGCTGCTAGCAGTCTTACAACTGCATAATGCTGCCTTTACTCTCAATCAAAATAACAGGGGTTAGGGGCTGCCTGTTATACCTATACGCTACATGACTGATCTTATTACAAACATCTAGATGGATTCTTAAAACTTCCTTGTTATTGTAATGACTGCAACAAAATACAATCTTTTTGTTTAATTAAAAGAAGTCATGTTTAGCAAAAGACAGTTAAGCACCCCTGGCAAAATCTGCTTCAGGGAACAGCAAGTCACTGATCATTTGTTTTTGCATAATCCATAGCATAGACTAACAAGGTCATTGCTAAAAAAAAAACCTGAATGAGGAAGACACTACTATGAAATGAGGGAAAACATAGATGTTTTTACAAATAAGCATTTTTCATGTGCACATACACAAATTGCACAAGCAAACATCGCTCTTCTGTTATTGCTGAAGATCCCTTTTAGCATTAATTCTAGACCGCAGCTCACTAAGGCAGCAGGTTGTACCACGACTGTAGAAATCAGCTGAAATGCCTATTTCAAACTCCAATTGCCTATACGTTACTTTACAAAGAAATCATCCATGCGGAATTTCACAGGGATAATCTGTGAAACTTCCTACCCAATTCAAAGCAAATACACTCACTTAAATCCTGCTCTCCTTGTTCTCTTAAGAAAAGCCTGTGATTTGGGCACTAGGTGTTAGCTTTCTAACATTATAAACCTATATCCTCTTCATTTAGCACCACAAATGAAAAGGACCTGGGGGTAATAATAGACCACAGTGTGAATATGAGCCAGCAGTGTGATGCTGTAGCCAGTAGTGCAAATAATACTCTGGCATGCATCAATCGATGCATCTCCAGCAAAACCAGGGAGGTAATTCTTCCGGTCTACTCAGCACTGGTGAGACAGCAGCTGAAGTACTGCGTCCAGTTCTTGGCACCACACTTCAATAAGGACACAGACAAGCTTGAGAGAGTCCAAACAGCCACCCGTATGATCAGAGTCTTACATGGCAACCCATATAAGGAAAAAGCTGAGGGATCTGGGACTCTTCAGCCTGAAGAAAAAGGGACCTGGTAGCAGCTTGCCACTACACTAGGGGAGTACATCAAGGGTTTGGTTAGCAACCGTTCACCAGGGCACCTGAGGGGAAAACCAGGAGTAATGGCCACAGACTCCTGGAAGACCGATTCAGGCTCAACATTAGGAAAAACTTCTTCATAGTCAGGGTGTCCAGACGATGAAATAAGCTCCCTCCTGAGGTGGTGCACTCACCTACCCTGGAAAACTTCAAGAGGAGACTAGACAGTCACCTTGCTGGGGTCACCTGACCCCCAGTTATCTTTCCTGCTTAGTGCAGGGGGCTGGACCTGATGATCTTCCAAGGCCCCTTCCGGTCTTACAATCTACGAATCTATTTACTTGTGATGAAGTACAGCATCTCTCCAGGATAAAAAATAGATCTTACAATTACTTTACCATTTACTGCTCTCATAATATTTCAACATAAAATGATAACTTGTTCCTAAAAAAGACACTAACAATTGTTGCCATGATGAACCCAGACAATACACTATCCCTCTTTATACTAGAGGCTTACAAAGATTTGTTCTTCTGTTCTGAACTTGTTCCATGAAACAGAGATCCCATTATAAACTTCACATAAATGACAAAACACACAGTTGTGGCAGCTCACAGGCATTAGCTATATTGGGAGTCCTAACAGTAATGATAAACTAAAGCCCACTAAGATCTGGAGCTTTAGCTCCTTTAGGAGCTTTCCATTAATGGAATTCTGTTCAGTCTCTCTGTCAATACTCCTCAGTCTAGAAGCCAAAATCGTGTGTGCATACAGAATTTCTTCTCTTCTAAATGAGTACATTCTATTTGTTTTAACAAGGATTTGTGTGTCATAAGAGATTCTGCGTGAGCTGAGGTAAATCAAGAAGGTCTTCAATCGTGTCCTTGAAAAGAGCACGTTATATACTGCTTTCTATGCTAGTATTGCTTCAGTTTTCACCTCATAATGAAACTCCACACTTTTTAAGTACAGTGATGGTATTTGCTAATAGCTTATGGACTTTCAAAAATAAATCGAAGATGAGGATTCAGGTTCTCCTCACTCACATCCTGGCTTTACCTTAATATAATCCATTGCTTTTGACAGAATTAATCCTGATTTACAGCAGTGCATGTAAAATAAGAATCAAACCAGTAGTACCTAATGATTTTAAAGAAATCTTATCCTTGCTTGAAACATGCAGGGATTTCTGTAAGTCAACAAAGATACTGAATAGAGTTATCTGGGTAAGCTAAATAAAGAGAGTATACCAGATACCTAATTATTTAACTTTCCCCCATGTCCAGAATTCATAATCAATAAATCTGCTGCCCTAAATGAAATGTGAAAGGCATTAAATAGGATGTCTGGATGTCATAAACTGAAATCCTTCCCTGCTTCCATCAAAAGAAAGGTAAGAGATTGGCCCACCAGTCCCTGATCCCCAGGGGTGATCTAGAGTTGCATGTGGGGAGTCCATGTGCTACACTCAAAGCAAACATGCATGAAGCTGGTCAGAGTCAAGAGAGTACACCCTGCTGTCTGCCTGAGGGGGTAAATATATGCTAGTAAAACATAACAATATTAACTAATATATTAAAAATATATTAATTCACATTATATTTGTACTATATTAGTTTTTGAAATGGGGGTCTGCTAAATTCTGACAAGTTAATGAGGCATGTTGAGTCTGAACAGCTTGAGAACAACTGCTCTAGCCAAAAACCTCTGAGATTAAGTACTGGCAGGAGCACCACCATACCTCAGTCCAAACTCCCAGTTTTAGATAAAGGTAATGCAGTGATTCTCAACCTTTTTTGGACTCAAGGCACTGAACACTGGATTCAAGGCACCTCCATAACTTGTGTGAATTAAATGGCATCCCACTTCAAAAATGAATTAATATATTATGCTGCTTACCTCCTTACAAAGGGGCTGGGAAGTGGGGGTTAGGAATCATTCAGGGACAAGCCTGAGCCTGCATTTATCTACTTAGCTTACCTGTTTATCTCCTCACACTTCATGGCACCCCAAGGTACCTTGGTACCCTGGTTGAGAATCACTGAGCTATACTGAATTATCCAGGAACTAGCAATATTCATACAGATTACCAAGAAAAGCCATGAAGTATATTGCCATATTGTTATATTTTCAAGACATCCATCAGCATAGTACCTTGGTGCTCCATCCCTGGAACAACTCCCATTCCCTGTTGCTGACATTTCACCCTCCAACAACAATCTTTAGTATACCTTTACTCTTAAGGCATTCATCTCATTGCTTTGTGAATTGTTATACTCCCCTTCTCTATATTAATCTTGTTGCTGGAACCTGCTCTGTAAAGCCTTATATCTTCCATTTCCACTGTGGATTACATACTGTAGATAACAAGTGAATGAAAGTTTAGTGCTTCCATCCTAGTTTCCAATCTACTCATTTGATAGTCTGTCAGCTCTACTAATGGACCTAAATCTGGAAATTGCCAAAAAGATCCAGTTCCTTTAACACAAATGGGAGCAGAGTGACCTCAGGACTGTGTAAGATCAGAAGAGGAACTGGAGGCCAGGACTAGAAATACAGGTGGTGCACTGTTATAGACAGAGGTGCACTGGCAGAGTTGCAGGGAACAGGTCTCCATGTAGCAAACAACACTGGTTCTGGTCTGTTGCTAGAGCAATTGGATTTGCCCTTTCCTGAGAACTACATTATTTCTCAGAATTTAATATGATTTCTCAGTATCTTCAGTTTTCATTCTTTATTCTGACACAATTTGAGAAGGATTTAGGGGGACAGGTATTCAGAACTGTTAACTGTCTTTTACATTATGTTGAAAGAACCATGTATAACAAACTGATTTTGTCTGTGTTTGATAATATAGCTTCTGGACACTTCTAGACAGGCCTTCAGAAATCACATGAACAATTGTGCTCAATTTAAGCAGAAGTGAGAGAAACAAAACACAATTTTAAAAAGCTCTGACATTACCTGGCTATAAAGTCAGAATCACATGAGCCACCCATGTAGTTTCTTCTGTTGGCATTAAATCTAGAAGTGGATGCATCTTTCACTGATTCAGCTGTAATGAAAGGCAAGACTCCAAATTACTTAAGTTCAGCATTCAGTTCAAACCCTTATTAGTAGAAATGGATGAAATGCCCCTGTTTAAACTTTCATTTCACATGATTCAGAAGGATAAAGTTTAATTTGTTAAAAAAAATGTTATAAAAATGTTTCTTTTCCCCTACTCACTCTTCCATCTACTTTTCCTATGTAGCCACTGAAAAAGGGAGAAAAGCAGGATGGGGAGCTGGGATTTGGGGGGAGAAGGGGAAGAGGAAAGCCAAACAGTGGATACAAATACTACATTTTTGTGATCTCAAAAAGTTTTAAGGAATTTTGCAAAAAAGTTCCTAATTTTCTAAACAGATATATTTTGGACAAAAGCCTTTTTAAATTGAAAAACTTTGACAAACTGCTTGTTAGGAAACTGTATTTGGGCCACATTTGTAAATTAAGAAGCAATATTTAAGTTATTTTTCATTTATTATACATACTATACAATACATACATGGAACACAACTGAGTAAAATTTTAACACTACCACAATGTAAATCACAGGTCCCGGTGCTAAGACCATGTGATACATGCACGTGGCACATGCTTCTTAACTTTCTTCTGCAGACCCTAACAGATCTGCCAAGACAGATTTGACAAATTTGAAAAGTTGTCTGAGATGACTGCTCACTCTGCAGGTGCACAGTTTTATCCTGGCCTGTAGTTACTTGTTTAAATTTGTTTAAACTCCTCTCAAGATTTTTTCCTTGTGTATCACACCCACTAATTAAAGTTCCTCAGGGCCACGTTCTGTCTGCAGTTATGTCTACAGGATTTAAGCAGGTGTAAATAATCGGAAGTTAGGGTTTGTCCAAAGTGGGAAATTTACAGGTAATGATTTCAGCATAAGTTTACCTGTTCTAGATAAGTCTTTATTTAAGAAAAAAGTCTGTTTGTAATATATAAGGAGGAAGAGGAAGAAAAGGAGGAGGAGGAAAAGGAGGAATCCTGCCCACGCTGAGCTTTGCAGTAGTAGGCAACCATCGATCCTCTAGATCACGGTATATATACAAGAGGTTTAGTCAGATGCCTGATGAAATTTCTGTTAATCACAAATAAATATGCTCAAAATTCACACAGAGAATATGTCATTTTTCCACAGTCTCTTTTCAAGCCATGAGAATTGACTGGCAGATTAAATCTGTGAACATTCTGGCAACAGGAACACGATGGAGTTTTCACAGCATAATTAGCATGATTAAAAAAATGATTAAAATAGTTACCTTGGGGATGTACAACAACACGGGGCTGTACAAATGATGGCTTCACCACTTCAAACCACCAGAATAGCTCTGCCATAAACACCAAGTAATTACTCTACAAGGAATTAAAGACACTGAATGAAAACCCTGACCATCTTAATCCTAACTAAAAATGAATTAGCTGCATAACATTCAGAAAGGTCATGCATTTCCCTCAGTTTTCATTACAATACATGGTCTTGCTATGCTTTACGGAACTCTGATGTACTTGAATGGCTGTACATGTAGATCATGCCATGTTTTTGTGGTACTGCAAATTTCCCATATTCTTAGGCTAGGGACAGACACTCAAGAAGCCTGCTGAGCCTGAATTGATTCAATCTTTGCAGGTTAGTCTAACCTGGCTAGGCTGAACCAGTTTGTAACTGGACAGACATTCTCTCTGGACTGAAGACATTAAGGCACATGCCTGCAGTGGCTCAGGCTAGAAGCCAGGGGTGCTAAAGCAGCCCTCCCTTCCATTCCAGAATGCTGAGCTGAGGGGGGGGATGTGGCCAGGCATGGGCAGGATCTCCGATTAGGGAGGTCTGCCTGCACCATCCCAGGCTTTTTTCCACTCGCTGTTCAAGGCGCAGCAATGCTGCCAAACCCCAGCCCCCTGCTAGCACTCTGAGGCAAGCGGGGTGTGCAGTACATGCATGTGTTGATGATACAGAGCTTTTCAAAACTTTCTCTCCCTGCGTCTTTATATTGTCTGCAGCTGACAGGTAAGCAAGCCAGCAGGGGGCTGATAACAGTGTTTATCACCTCATCAGCAGAACAACAGCCTCTCCCCATTAGTTCAAACCCTTCTTAAACAGCTTATCAGCTGACCTGTTGATTAGCTCCAAAAAGCCCTAAACAGTCACTGTTCTGTCTGCTTGTCTCAGTGAAGTTGGAGACACACACACAGACACCTCTCAGCATTAGCTAGCATACCACATGCCTAGGGTCCGTGGGGCTGGGGCCTATGCTGTGGGAGATGGGAGGGAGGGGGGATTCCTACTTAAGCAGCAAGCGGAGGGTGGGGGGAGGCAGGGGGAAGCCAGACATTCTGCTGTGTCTGCAGCCTCTGATGGAGCTGCAGCCAGGAAGCAGAGGGGAGGAGCTAGCTTTACTATGGAGCAGAGAGCCCTGCCTAGCCCAGAGAGCGTGCCAGGATAGTGGGGGAGTCTGGTTTATCTTAAACCAGCAAGGGGTCTAGGACAGACATTGCATAAACCGGTTTGACCCAAATCAGTTAACTCTGATAGTACATTCAACCATATTTATCTAAAACTGGGTTCAGCCATTTTCAAACTGGTTTATATACACTGAACATCTGTTCCGTTACAGGTTTAAACCAGTTTCTGATCACTTAAACTGGTTTGTGTGTAATGTCTGTCCCTAGCCATAATGTTTCAAATGAATTCCTGTCCATCCCCTAAGTGGGTATTCCTCATCGTCTGGGTTCTCACCTTGAGACCACACCAGACTATTTTGCAAAAGAGGTGAGTGTTTGTATCTGCAGCTGAAGTCAAGGGGAGCTTTGCTGTGAATGTATATTGCTATATAATGCTAAATGCTCTGTTAAAACCATGTCCTATGTGTCTCAACTATGCAACTGACAGTGGTGAATACTTTTGACCTGACTCCCTCTGTGCCTTGGTTCTCTATTTCTAATATAGGCTAACAATATCATCTTGTCATCTCATGTTCTGAAGATTAAATTACTGGCTAGGAAACACTGAGGTACCTTAACTATGAGTATAATAAGAAAAGTCCGTGAAAAAAGAACAATATTGTACAAAAGCAGGATTTAAACAACATGAATAAATAAGCTCACTCTAATAAGAATATCAGAAAACCTGCTGCTCATTGACCAAGCAGTTTCTGTTCTGTCTGCTGAGTGAGGAAGTGATTATGAGGAAAAGACATCCTGTAATAATGTAATTCAAATTTGTATCTCCATGCATACACAAAAGGAGCCCAAATTAAGACTGCACCAGCAGCTTGAGCTCTGGGAAACGCTTGCATTTTAGTTCTTTACTTTGCAGCCATAATAAAACTTCTTATAATATAGTTTGTATAAATGTATAAAGATGACACAAGGAGGCAGGCATATATTATAAAGACTGAAAGAACAAACTATAACAACATCTGTTTCCACATTACAATAATAAATCATAATTAGAAAAAAATTCTATAACTCAGGCTCTGTTTAAAAGCACTTCTGTGTAATTTTGGCAACAATAAGGTTGCCAAAATTACAATGATCTTCAAAATTGTAATTTTCAATTTTTTAAAAAGAAAGAATCTAGTTAAAGAGGAAAAAAAAATCCCTTGTCTAGTTTTCTCATCATTAAATTACAAGCTTAGCTTAAAATTTGAAATGATTTGAAATATCAGATTTGTTTTTAACCACTAGTGTTATTTGAGCTATACATTTCATTCATTTTGGACAATAAAAGCAAAGTTTGGTAGCTGTAAGCTAGCATACAGCTTCAATTAATAAATTATTGTTAAAATACAAAATAAAGCATTTTATTTGCTCTTTTTAAAAAAGTCAAAACATTTTTATTAATATTTGGTTTTGCAAACCCCTTTTATATGCAATAAAACCTGTAATTTGACACCCATCTGTTAAATTTCTTAACCTTCGAATATTAAACCGACTATGAATAAACTAAGTCTCCAGATGAAAAGGCAGATTGTTTTAAGTTAACACCTTCAAGAAAGTTTAATCAATGAGCCAAGAAGCAGTGCCTCTAATAAGCTTCTAATGACCCAAGAAAGGGAGTGTTGTTTTTCAGTATAGTTTTAATTAAGTACATAAAATACTACTTAGTAAAGGGCAGAGTTCTCATTTTCTCCTAGTACAAGCAGTGCCGTAAGAGAAAGATGTCCATGAAATTTATTTGTACCACTAGCTGAGGGGCACTAGAAGCTAGGACCACTTCTTAATTGTGAACCCCCTGTTAAGTGTGTCCACATGGATGCATCTCGATGCTTGTACAGGTTTGGAAAAACAGTGACCATGCCTGGACCTCCACAGAACATGCAGAAGGAAGCAGCAGTTCTTATTCTCAGAAGTCCTCAATACCAGAAAAAGAAAAGGGAGTAATATGGGTTGTGTTGGGGCAGAATCTAAATCCGGACTTGACTCTTGAGGACATTTAATATAAAGGTGCTGTTCAGGAGGCCACTGGATCAGGCTGAGAGGAAAGAAAGGGCTGATTTCATCGCTGGGAATTCCAGAGCTGTGGTGGAGGGGGAGCTGAATTGGCATTTGTATTCCCACTGTACACTGTTTGGGATGAGATCACAATTCTATCAGAATTTTCATGCAGCTTAAAAGGTAGAGACCTACCTAATTTGTGGGGACTGTCCCTAATTTCATTAGCAGAATGTGGGCCTGGGCATCCATTTCATGGGTGGAGTGTGGCAGGCCTCCCACGTCTCTGACTGGCTACAGGGCCACAGCTAACCCTCACCTTTGATTGGCTGCAGGGGCTACCTGTCATGTGGGCCTAACCCTCACTACCGATTGGCTGCAAAGGCCATCATGGAGCCCCACCCCTCACTGCCAATTGGTGGAGGGACAGCGCCACATGACAGGCATCCTTGCAGTCAATCAGTGGCCAGGGGTGGGAATGGGGAGGGAATAGTAGCCATCTTGCCTGCAGCCCTTCAAGTGGGAAGCCCCCTTGTCCCCACTTTCTTGCCCCACTGGGCTGCTGCAGCCTGCTGAGGATTGCTGGCTGAGGAGCCAGCGTTTTCTTCTCCATAATCTTTTCCCCCCCACGGATTTCACAGAATCCATGAAATCATGAATTCTGTAGTTGCCTATAAGGATACTGACAAAATCAGTAGGCCCATAATTTGGCCTGTCTTATAAACTTCCTTGTATCTTTTTTCTACAGGCTACAGTATTGACACATTTACACAAGCGATACAATATTTAAGAGCAAAAACAAAAAACAGAACTAAGGCATTAAGGCCAGTAGCCATAAGAAACTCTAGAGTAACACAACAGGGTACGTTAGGGGAAAAATGTACATTCTCAGTCTTCCAAAAGTTTAAGGTTGTTAAAAAAGTAGAAATTTAAGAGAAAATAATAATTTTGAAATGCCTGTAATAAAATTTCTATGTTCTCCTTTTAATTACAGTTTGGTGAATGAGTATAAATTTACACATGCACCATGTATAAAACTGCCATACTCTAGGGACTACACAGGGTACAGCTATGTATATGATTCACACATAAGCATAAGGAGATTTTGCACATAAAGCCCCATAAACATAATGAGTTTTAGACCCTGGTTGTTATACCAACAAATACTGTATATAAAAATATAAGATTACTGTAATTTTTTTTCCTTCAGACAACTTAAAAAAACCCCAACTATTACAAATAGCTTTAGAGAGTAAATCAAAGCTACAACTGGTCATAGATATTAAAGAGAATAAGATGGGCTCTACAAACATGGCAGGTAATCAAGACAGATTAGGAAGATGGTGGGTCTTTGGCTCACTAGAGAGAATGTGCAACACGCAATGCTTAGTGTTTGCTTTATTTCAGTTTTCACAACCCCTCCCTTTGCCTCCCTCCCCCCCAACCAAAAGGCAAACAACAATAAAAAATAAACTGGCAATAAGATGACTGGCAGAATTTATATAAATGTGGTGAAGGGATACAGTTCATTAAAAGTAAAGAGTGTCAGACTTGCCAATTTGAATGAACATGTCTTCAACTAATAGATGCATGTTTGGTTGAATAGCTGAAAAAGGGTAACAATGGAATGAATATCAGAATAGCAAAAGGTCTTTAACAGGGAACAGGTCTTCTCTCAGGGAACTCTTCTGTGTACACTTTGGCTTAATATTTTTGTTAATGACTTACATTCAGAAATAGAGTATACTGATCAAACTTGCAGATGACAGTGGCAAGGGCTGCAAACTCTTTGGAGGACAGGATTAAAAACCAAAGGGATTTGTATACATTGGAAAACTGGCCTATGGACAATACATGGGGAGAAATGCACAGTGGGAGCAAGTGGATTGGCAATAATAGGATTTGGGGGGTATGACTGATTA